AATGCGTTAACCTTTATCGTTTACGATTCATACAACTGTAAACAATAATAGCCAAATGAATAAATAAATGCTGCTCCAGTTCATAACTTTACGCATCGCGAACAGACTCTTTGAGAGTCCGATTTGCTGAAATGTCCTTCTTAACAAGTTCTAACTTCAAATAGCATACATTATTCAAGATTAGTTTCAGAGCGAGCTAATATCAAAGGGTTTGATTTTGTACAACCTAAGCAGATCGTTCGTTAGTTCTTGCTTCTTTAGCCTTCCAGGTTTGATATGGTGGAACACTTTATTGGTCGACGTTTCGAACAAATCGTCGTTTTCAAGACCTAAAAATTGGTTCGAAGCTCTAGTTTGTAGCCTATCCGCTCACACCCCACTAGTACCAAATGTTACGCTTCTCAGTAATCTCCAAACCAAGATAAGTTCCAGCTAAAACCAACCTCTTACGGCTCCACCCAGGTACTGGTCCCGCTATATCGGTCATAACAACAAACTGCCTGTTCGGGTGTGTGCGAGGTTTGCGGCGGGGGCGGATTCGGAATGTGCTAATACTTCTGATCTCTGGGGGTGTGATATAATACATAAAATGTGAAAAAATAACAACAAAAATGTGCTGTTCGGAGGTTGTGGGCGGAGTTTGCGCGGTGGGCGGAGTCGGAATATGGCTAATACGGGGGGTCCGTGAGCCAGGGGTGCTACCCCACCACCGGAAAGCCGACAGGCTCCAGTATGGTGGAGCCGTAAGAGGTTGGTTTTAGCTGGAACTTATCTTGGTTTGAGATTACTGAGAAGCGTAACATTTGGTACTAGTGGGGTGTGAGCGGATAGGCTACAAACTAGAGCTTCGAACCAATTTTTAGGTCTTGAAAACGACGATTTGTTCGAAACGTCGACCAATAAAGTGTTCCACCATATCAAACCTGGAAGGCTAAACAGAAGCAAGAAATAATCGGAATGCCCAGGTTTCAAGAAGACCGGACATGGAACATACAAATATTTGTTTTGCTTTCGCATGATTAACCTGATATGATAGGGCAATCTACAAAAGCTCTCGAGACTTATACAACGTCAAAAATTTGTTAGTGTAGCACAGCAAAAAGTACCGGCGATCTTTCATAGTCAGCTCCTTGCGACAGAAGTGACAGCAGTTCGCCTTGCTTTTCTCAATAGAATTTCAGACTGTTGGTCAAGATATGGAAAAGCAGGAAGAATTTGCTCTGAATGACGTGGATAATGCGATAAAAGTACTCAATATCGAATGCTTCGATTGATGACTGACTGACCGATTGCAGTTCAACTTCTAATCTTTGTGCATTGGTGAAATATCTTTATTCCAGCTGAAAAGGAATGTCACGATAGTGTTTTTGTTGATTTCCGCCATCAATTAGATATCAGTGTGCACAATAACTGATAGTCATATGATATCCAGAAGGAAGGAAAAGTCACATGCAAGAAAACAAGGACGAGGTACGAGGGCACGTGCACTTACTATCGACCTTTTTTGAGAGCTATTAGCTGGACAAATTTCTTTTTGGTTGTTCATCGTCCTAGTCGCCGAGGATTACACAAAGGTTTTTTTTTGACATGGAATGTACTCTAGGCAGAGCTGGGTCGTGAATAGGTATCGTCGTTGAAAGGGTGAGGGCTCTGGTGGATAGACCATACACTTGGTGAGACACAACTCGTGTGCGGAATTGGCGTTAGGCCGTAGCCTTCTTCAGATATTCTTCTATAGAATTGCCGGTTAATTAGCACTCCACTCATACAACTAATATGACGGAATTATCGATTGATTTTTTACATAAAAGGATAAAAAGGATAAAGCATTTGCCGTTGATCAATCCCTTTTTGGGATGCGGCACGCATTCTACTTCCATTTGTACATTCGTAGTGGCGTTTGAATGCGATGTGGCCTATACAATGACTTGCGGGGCCAGCCGATGTACAAGTCAGTGTTTTTATCCTCCCAGACAAGTCTGGTACCAATTAACCGACCCCGGAGGGATGGAAGGCTTGGTTGGCCCGGGCGACTCACGACCCAGGATTTGATCCCAGTTCGCGTGCCACTTGCCACTACGAACCAACTTCGCTCCATTTTTTATCATATGGTCATAAGTTTTTTATTCCCTCTTTTGCACACTGGTTAGCGGCACATTTGCGGGCAAGCAGGCACGACTACTGCACAGAAGTTGTGGGTCAAATAATTTTCAAAGAGAATCTATCGCTTCTGGTAGGTAAGACAACCCCTATTTGGGTTTTCGAAGTGGTCTATCTCCACTTGATAGAGGACATCGTTGCTTTCAGTATTCAACCTTGTTCACTCTGACGAGTTACGTTACAGGTGTCCCGGCAGAATGAGGGATGAAGGCGCCCTAAATAATCTGGAGATGTTGGATGCAAGCCATGGAAACGCTTGATTCCTGTGGATGGTGGGTCCCCCATTAAGATTAGTAAAGCCCTTTCAGAAGTGAGGTGAACAAGCCGGATGCAGTGATAGTGAGCTGACGGCCGACGTTATCTTCAAATCGCTAAGATGTTTGACCCGTTTACCGCCCCTGCCCTTTCTATGTCATTTTTGTTTGAGACCCTTATCTGGTCATTCCTACTGATACAGTGAAAAATGCGCATATAAAGCACCCTCACCTGCTTCGATGGGGCAACAGGAACACTATCATCTCCTTTTTTGGCCTACTTGCTAGTTTCTTATTTAAATTAATCCTATTCAGGCTCAAGCTGGGCCAAGATTTTTCCTAATTGCGGAACAGCTCGAGAGCAATGTAGCCCATTTTAGGTGGAGATGCCGGCAGGGACTATCTTCTTGGCAGCAATCCTATTTTCAGTCGCCGCTGCGTAAGTTCGTGGACCTTATAATTCATAGAGTTAGCCAAGGAATTTTGTACTGAAAGCTTCATTCATTTTTATTGTTGCTTTCCAGTGAAAGTAATCCACCAAGTGGAGAGCTCTATGCATTGCTGGTGGCCGGCTCTAACGGTTGGTGGAATTATCGCCATCAGGTTAAGATTTTACTTCTTCATCCTTTCTACAATGTTTGCTGAAATTGGTAGAGTCTATCGATTACTGCCTGTTGAGAAAATACCAAGTACTAGTGGTGCTTTTGAACCGGACCAAACCCTAGGATTCCCTATCAAGTTTCTGAGGCACTTTTCACTGAAGAATTTTATCTCAGCACATAAGCTCACCTATTCTAGAAGCTAATCACCACCTCATCTGCTAAGTGCTTTGTGATCACTGGAAATAGCACACAAAGTTTCACGCATGAAGATTCGGTTTCTGAAGAGAAACAAACGTACAAAAACTACACGTTATGGACCATCGAAGGACCAGGAGGCAGAGCCAGGCGAGGCATGGAAAGAAGACGGCGTTTGGCCGGCTACGTACCAGGCGACGCAATGAGAGAATCGGGTTAAAGCGCGCGATTTCGGAGAGTGGAGACAAATCGATCGATGGAATAGGATGGAGTAGAAGTGTAAGATGTGAATGCAACGAAGCAGAAGGCCAGAAAGAGCTTCTAGTGAATGCACTCCAAGAACCAAGTTTGAGCATCCCCGTCGCCAGCATTCGTGAAAGACGTCCGTGGGCAATTCGAACGCGTAGCAGCCTTTTCGAGTTTTCGAATTTCTAATCAAAACGAAAGCAATACTTCAGTTCTTTTCACTATTACCGTGGATAATGAGCCCCAAGCCAGTGATTTATGGCTGAAATAGAATGATTTTTCATAATTTTTCCGCGCAAGATTCCTTTAACACTTTTGTCCCCTTC